CGTAGCATTTTAATAGACCACGCCTCAATTTTATTCTTTTTAAAGCTTCAGAAATGTATGTGAGATCTCTCCACGATATTTTCATCTCAAAGGCTTCCATTTTGTTTATTGTATTGCAGCACCATGCAAAGCTTTCCATGAAACGAAAGCGAACGGACAAGCTAACTTTCCTGGCTTGCTGGAATTTTCGTGGACAAGTATCTAGCTATTTCTATTCTTCTTTTTGTTTCTACTTTGTTGTCCCGGAAACCTTTTCCACACTTTGGTGATAAACTGATAGAGTAGTGTTTGCCTCGATTATTTGAATAGCTTTTCGAAAAATTACCTCAGAGTGGATATTAAAAATATACCCTTGGCGAAGACCTCTTTTTATGAGAATATAATTGGTTTTAATATCATTACCATGGGCTCCTGATCTTTATCTCCAGTATAAATTTTTTCATGCCCCTTATATCTTTTCCGTTAACACTAAGACATTTCGAGATATCTATTGTGCGGCACTCTGTCAAACGATTCTTCATAATTTATAAAACAAAGGAAAATATCTTTTTGTACATCTCTGGAATTCTCGACTGGAATGTGAACGCAAAATAAAGCTTCATTTCCTCTTACATAAAGACATTAAATTCTGCACCGCGTAACCTTCAGTTCAAAGTCCAAATCGAAATGTTAAGCCTAGTCGATATAGGCACAACACTTACAAATTGGGCGCACTCTCATTAGACTGCGGTCATCAGCGCTTTCACTTTCCTCATTCTCTTATTTCTCTTCCCTCAACTCATTTCTTTGTGAACGTCACTATGCTACGCGAATAGAAGAAGAAGACATCCACTAAGTGATTGTTGGTCATATTAAAGAAGTTATAAACCGTTGATTTATCAATGACGTATACGAATAACAAGTCTTATCAATAAGCAAGAAAAACCGCTTCACTTCGGCTACTTGCTTCACCGATTAATAAATCAAAGATAGTCTTCAAATGCTAATAATTCTTGAAACTTTTATATCTTTCTTCCCATTTGAATAGTGTAGGACGTGTTGAAGAGAAAATCTTTTACCCAATTGTGTTTAATGTTTCAAAAAGTATAGAGTTTATGCATCCATTAGCTAAACTTACTCTTGATATTTTCATAAATTTGCTTTAATCATAAGTTATTTCATTTTATTGCATGTTGGCGCATGTACTCACATAAATTATACGCAGCATGAAATATTAAACGGCCTTTAACATCATCGTTAATGTTTACACATAAACTTTTTGGATTGGCTGACGATAATGCTGCGCCACAACCACATAAGCGTAGTAAAAGTATTGGATATCCGAGAGCTTGTACGGGTTTACTAGACGCAATATTACGATAAAATTGTTATGAAATTTGCGATAACTAAGCATAATTTAAAAGCAATCGTTTTTACCACTCGCAAATCGTTAGTATTCTCTTAACTCTCTTTACTCGCTTTATAAACATAATTTATTTTATAAAGTTCCTATAGTGTTGCTTATGTTAGCAAGTTCAAAAAATTAACCATGCATTGATGTAACGATTGCACATAAATTTATATATCCGACTTACACACAGCCACAGCTATTATTTTTAATTAGTATACACATCCAAATATCCGAGCTGTTTCAAATTAACTGTTGAGGAGCTTTATGTAATGGAAATGTTCATTTTTGTTGGAATTTGTTTTTTTTTTTTTTTTAAGCTTGTTTCATACAAAATCAATAAAAACGGCAGAACGTGTACTAAAGAAAAAGAAAGAGAAATTCAACATTGTGATGAAATAGAAAAATTAAATATATATTCAAAAAATAGTGATAACATGACGTTCCCAAATTTCAGCTGACCACTACTTTCTTTCTTTCTTCCTCAAGGTGAGATGAAACTCAAGCAAAAATCGATTGGAACAAATAGATATTCCAGCCTTTAAAGTCGTATCGTATCGAAATCGTATTACAATTCTTGTAAATTTTTCGTCGCTGTGTGCCGCAACCGTTCTTTGCAAGTACAGCGGAGGACCGACTATATAAAATCCTTAAAAATGATCAGTTTTCATTGCTTGTGAGTGAAATAATGAGGAAAATTTGGTTGATATGTTAATTTTTAATCCTACGAGAGCAACGAACACGAATTTTAAAATTTCAGATATCTGCAACCAGATACGCAGACATGGCCACAATCAAATTCTCCTATTTACGCTAATAGTAAAGATACGAAGTTTATGCGATCTTTAATATATGTCTTGAGCCACAAGCGTCTGACAAATCTAACACATCCTTTGCAGCATATATAAATAAAAAATCATGCTTTCAATCTTTTATATGTTTAATGCTTCCGACATTGTCACAGAAAAAAAGGCGATAGTTATGGCAAAACATTTTTATTTGGATTAAACGCCAATCGCAACGGATATAACAGTGAATATAAAGCGAAATTTGTATGATAATCAATTTCTATTAATTTAATTTAAAAAAAACATCATAGAATACGAATTTTGGAATTTATATTCATTTTTTTCATTTTATCGATGCATAAAGAGAAGAAAAAATAAATTGAATTTCATAATTCTTAGTTAACACATGAATAAATGCACACACACAGCTATAGCTTACAACTTGTATCTGGATTGCCTTACACTTTAATTCACAGATGGGAAAATTATTACAATTGAATAAACACTGGCTGCCTTATATCATTTAGTGTTATAAAGCTTGAACGTAGAAGATAGATCCTTCGAATAAGTTTTTTAATAAAACCTATTCAAGGACATAATTCCTCATCAATCTTCCTCAGTATGGCAGAGTTTCATGGCATTTTCTTCTCCTAGCGATATCTCTATGCAGGACTATTTGAGGGCAACGAAAAGGCTCAATGTCCAGTCAGCAGAAGAGTTCATGATAGATCCTAGATATTTCTGTTGCATATCAAGAAGCCACCCTGAAAGGCTGGGCATAAAAAAAGTCGGATTGTCATTGGAAGCAATGTGCACAACAACGGCAGGCGGAAAGATCCACAAAACCATCCGGTATGGCACATGAACTACTGAAATTAAGAAGAAATGGCCTCCGTTTAGTCATGGCCTTCTACACGGATCATTGCTGCCTCCGATATCGATTCATGCAGATTCAAGCGTGACTCCCATCATATTCGATGTGTATATTGGACCATCTACAGAACCAGACATCATGTTTGGCGAGTATTTCATAACGCCCGACACGGTATGCTGCTTCGGTCTAAAGAAGCTAGTGGGATTAGAGCTAGGGGCATGGGCGAGTACAATGTATCAATATAGGACGCGCTATGGTTTGACCACGCAATTAATAATAATAATAATACAAGACTATATAAGAGCTTTTTCCTTCTTTTCCGCACGTTACGCAAGCAATTATTTGTTTTCAATAAACGATGCTTAATTTACGCGTTTAAGGCTGCTTCCCTATATTGTTCAATTCGTCATAAGACGGAATTGGGATACTCTCGATATCAACCATTGCATTATAGTTTTCTATTGAAACTTTTTATCGCATATTCAATCGTTCAGCGTAGTGTAAACGACTTTCCATATGGAAACGCTGCTGATGGTTTATCTATCATCTGCTAGCCCTATATCGTACTTAAACTAACTGTTAATCGTTAAAGGACTAATTATGCTCACTAGAACCAGTTGCCAAGCCTGTAGAAGTCTGCAATGATTTAGGATTCCAGTACCTAGTCGGATCTGCAGCCCGATAGTTGCGAGTGTACCCATTCATGAACTTTTTTCCCCTTTCTTCTTATATTTTATAAGAGCATTTATAGTAAGTAGATAAGATTTGTATTATCTTTAAGAATGAATCTAACTCGGCTGTGTGTTTACGTTAGCTGAGTTTCATGTGCAAATAAATAAACAAATAAATACAATGCCAAGAGGCAGCCAACCATATTACATAGGAAGAAGAAGAAATTGCAAAACTTTTTTTCCCTTCATTAGTTTCAAATACAAGTCGCCAAATGCTGTTGATCATCACCAGCTGCACTTTACATCTTTTGGCGTAGACTAGACTAAGGCTGTCTCGTGACCAAAGATATCCATGCTTGTAAAATCGCCGGTACATACAGTAACGTTGTTGATTGCAATTTCTTAATAGCTCAGAGCCGTCATATTATCCCATTTTTTACTACGAGGTTAATTTGTTAACATTTTGTGTTATAAGTCAATAACAGTCAAACGACTATGAAATTATGCTTCCATATGTAATTTCCATTTAAACCCATCTGCTAGACATGCGAGTTAGAAAATCAATGTTTTAAATATTTCTGAGAATCATATGCAAAGAGAAAAACAAACAAAATCCCTTTTAAACGGCGTTACCATCTGCTTAGGTAGAATGCTAAGTACGCTGCAGCTGCATGCACTGTATATATATATATATATATAAGCTAAGCTTAGTTCATTAGTTACTTTTCTATTTAGTTAGAGCTTTGGACGGATAGATCAACAAGTACCTTCGATTTGAAAATTAAATTTTTTGTTTGTTTATCTTTTTAAATGTCAAATCAACGATACGCATATGCAGCGTAGAGTAAACGGATTGAAAAGTATTGCATACTTTCACCTTTTCGGTGACGACTATAATAATTAACATTAGTATACATTTGTCATTTTATGCGCGACAAAGTAAATACATAAAAGTATTAATTTTACAATGCGGTGAAGAAGTCAATTGGCGCCTTGTCCGCAGAGTTAATTACAGCAATAACATTGCGCGTTATGAGAGGCGCATTTTCACAATGAAAACGGGAAAAATCACTGATTACGAAAGGATTACAGTAAAATGAATATTCGTTTATTAGGAAAATTTCGCAATTACTTTTATCCTTTAGAATCTTTGGTATAAATATCACTTCAGACGCAATATTTAGTCACATTTCGCAAAATAATAGTTGCACTGCGGTTGTGTTGTCTTAACTCAGCGAAACTTAATCTTAAAAAAAAAATAAGGAGAAAAATATCGAAATATGTGTTCAGCCTTTAGCATACGATCCATTTTAGGTGATGACAACATTGAAGGGCAGGAAAATGAAGAATCGCAAACATCTTCGGGCTCCGAAGACTCTGGCGATGCTAGGCCTGGCTACACTTACAGCGCGTTGATTTTTATGGCCTTACGCAGCAGTCCCGAGAAACGTCTGACATTGAACGGCATTTGTGAATGGATAGCTAAGAATTATCCGTACTATCAGAAAAACAAAACTCAATGGACGAATTCTATTCGTCATAATTTAAGCTTATGTCCGTACTTCGAGAAAGTCCAAAGAGCTTTGGATGATCCTGGACGTGGCAATTATTGGACTATCAATCCATTATATGAAGGCTTGAAAGTCGGCGAAACAACCGGACGTCTAAGGGGCAATAGTAACTGTGATCTTATCCAACAACAACAACAACAATGCTTCGCTGCCGAATGTGCCAGTCTCTGTCCAAGCTATCCGTATCGACCGTGTTTGAATAGTGCACCATTTGCTCAGCATCCTACACTGCATGCTGTGTACTTTCCCACCCCGGAAGAGATACATTTCGTTCAGCAGGCGGCGATAATGCAAAAGCAAAGAGAACAATATTGGAGTTTGTACCAACAAAATCCGCAACAACCAAATGTGTCATGCGGAGCCAGCTTCCACACACAGTCGACTTCAATGTAAAAAAAATTGTCTAATGAAAGACAACGCAATGTTAAGAAATATGATTGTAAATATTTGCTATAAAGATTGTATATATTCGTCAAGTATTTTAGATTTTAAGTAACAGAATCCTTGGATTTCTTATTTCTTATTTTTTAAATAAATATAAAAAAAATAACAAAAGCAACAAAAATTACAACGATCTTTGAAACTTTAATGAGATGCTGAACAAAAATTGTCATAAAGAATTCTGAATAACTGAGCAAAATTTTAAATTTTTAAAAGAAAGACATGCAGATGATAATTTTTTCTTCTTCTTCTTATCCTGTAATTTAGCAAAACCAAAAACAGAAGACAACGAAGGTTTTGGTTATACCCTACACCACTTATAGCACAGGCGTGGATGTATGTAACACCCCCAAGGGCTTAAGATGGACCAAACTTTTGTCCTAACAATTGATACAGAAAATGATTCTCAGCTTGTCTGACCTGCTGATGTCTACCCTTGTAAATTTGCGTTCAACCCAAACGTTGCAATTTTTAATATATTTGCATATAAAATGTGGTAAAGTCACGTGTGTTGACCCACGGACGAATGTTGTTGAAAATTGTGCGGATCGGTTGATCTTTTCGACCAGTCCACATGTAACGTTATATGGAAAAAATTGCAATTTTCAAAATTTCTCGACAAAGTTCGCTGAGCAATAGTGTTTCGACATTTTAAATTGATATGAAAAATTTTGTTCGGCTGGGGCAATTTTTTGAAGTCCTTCTCGTATAACCGCATCTACAAAGATTAAATCTTTAGGTGCCTTAAAGGTATATCTTTCAATATTTTATGGTGAAAATTGTTGTTTGTAATAGTAAATTGACGTTAACTAATTTGGATGACGGAGGTCTATTTTTTACTACTACTATTGCATATAAGGATTCTCACGAAAGGTAGACATGCCTTTTATGCCGAAAAGGCCTAACGATCAGCCCAATAGTTCGCTGTCGATACAAGTTGCTGTGTTCGCTTTTTGAAGCCGTCATTCAAAAGAGTCGTGTGGTGTAAAGATATATTAAGAATGTGCAGATGTTTGTAACACCCAGAAGAACTTGAGATATACCAATCGCTTTACTACTTGAATGTTACTTTGAATGTTTGTGTTCAATCTACACGTCGAAATTTTGTCTCTTCCTATATTGTGCTTTATTTTGAACACTTGTCGTATAAATAATTGTAAGGTGATAGAGGGCAGGCAGTGATTCGCTGTAGGGTTTTTGTGTGCTTTTCTTTCGGTTCTTAAATAAAGGGAGTACCATTTCAATATTAAAAACATTGCTACCTTTCTCTCCGAAAGCTTTTATATAGTGTGCTTTCCAAAATGATTTATATAACATACCATACTGTTTCTGTTCTATGGCATTTTTCTTCATGTGGCTATAAATTTTTATTACAAAACCTATTACTTCTTTCTTTATAAACTCGTATGTATGCATTCGATAAATCAAAATCTACTTCTAGGTATGGATGGCAGAGAGCAAAACAAACCGAGGAAAACGATAAAGAAATATGAACAAATTTTTATATATTAAAAAGTAAAAAAATTACATTTTGTTGTGACCAAATCCTTTACACGCATCATCGCAATCCTGAAGTAAAGGAAAAGAACTGCATTTGCATACTCTATAATATTGATTGGGCGCGGCCGAAATTTACTAATTTCAGAATAAAAGTGGACGTTTCTATCCTGTGTGTACCGGTGATTAGTAATGAGCAAAAAATACGAAAAGCAAAGATGTTTGCAGTTTCTATTACATAAGCGTTGTAGGTGTGTTCTTTGAAAAGTTTGGGTTATTTCCAAATTCTTTCACAAGTTTTTGGGCGATATCCTCATTTTTGCGAACGGGAGAATGCTTCTCATAGGTGCTACACAGCTGTGCAGAGGGGCAGCTGGACGGGCGGATCGAGGACATGCATAGGTTCATTCCGAATTTGAAACTGGCAAAAATTTGTATGCTTTATAGAAATTTCGAAGCTTGCCGCTGGCCGTTGCAATCGTTTTGACAAAATTAATGTACGTCTCATCCTTCGGTGATGGATATAAAAATGCCTGTTGAAGCGAATCATGAATAGCCATTATATAAATGTCATCCAATTTTCTGTACGTTGTAAAGTGAAATATTTATTGTACAGGATGATCCATTATGTAGTCAGGAAAGGGAACGTAAATAATGTAAAAATTCCCGGACAGAAGGCGAAACAATTGCAAGAAAGAATGTAGGTAAACCGAGAAACTCAGACTATCGAAGGTTCAGTATTTAGGCAGATTAAAAAGCTTGACGTAGTTATCTATAAAAATTAAATTATAAGAAAGATTCCAGCTAAAACCTGAGATCGTCATACGATCTGCAAGGTTATATGTCCCTTTTTATCTCATAATTTGATTTCTTCTGAAGCGAAAGTCTCCTTATAAATGAAGTTAACAAAATTTCCGTTGCAACCATTTTTCCTGCCACTCCTATCGTAGTAGACGAGTGTAGATAATTCCCTAACAAAAGTTTCCCGACATTAATATAAATAGAGCTTTCGACAGCAGATCTTTTTATGCATTAAGTTTTAAAAATTAGTATAAGCAACAACAAACAACTTCAGTGTGTCAAATTGCAACAAATTATCTCAAAACTTGGGTCTTCGTACATTGAACACAAATAAAGAAAAGAGATGGACGGACAGACAAGCTGAGGCTTACTTCTGAATGGATCGGTATAATAAAAGTTCATGTCAAATCGTTCTGGGCGTTACATACATCCGTACAACCTTAATATCCTCTTGCACCGCAAACGATGTAGGATGTAGTCACCACCTTTTCGTTTCTTTCCTTTATAAGCGGCAGTCATACCATTTACCATTTATTTCATAACAAATATTTTGAAAAAAAAATATTTCAATTTTTTTATTTTTCTCCGCCTTTGTTTTTTTTTTTTTCCTCCTGTTTTTGTGTGAAAGGAGCAACAAGTGTTTACATTGCCGGCTGGAGCTTGGTATATTTCATCATTTTTAATAATTTTGCGATAATAAATTGAAAGTTAAAAACAATCTTTATGCTTTACCGTGGAAAGATGCGGTAACAATTTTTAACCATACGCTCAACGCTAGCATATGCGTATAACACGTAAATTCCACTAACAAAGGGCTTACAAGTTGAAAAATACAGAATCGCTTTTATGCTGAAAAAGAAAAATTGCTTACTTGCCCCGTCTAACTTGTTGGGAATTTGCGGGATGTATGCGGGTGCTTACGTATATGGTTAACGTAGATTTTAATACTCACCATCAGAATATTAATTTATTACATTTCCATGCAAGTCGCATATACGCAAAAAGGAAAAAACTTTAAAACATTTATTTGCATAATACGCATAACTCGGCGGGAAAATTTCTTTTACAAATGTTTCGTATTAAAGGAAAAATGGAATTTTATACCAAAGTCTCAAAAAAAAATGTTGATGGGGTATATACATATATATATATATATATGAGTATTTTGGAGAGGGCAAGAAGAATAGTGTGTTTTAATGCATTTCGCTTTGCAGTTTTACCAGGGGTTGACGATGATAATAGTTTTCGCCTGTGGTTGTCACTTTCGCCGCTATTCGTTCCAATGAATGAAGCAGTAAAAAAATAAGGAAACTTTCCATAAGAAAATAGGAAA